TTACATTAATAAAATCCATTATTGACTACACTACATTTTTGTTAGAATAAAAATAAACATTTATTAGACTAGTTGAATAATTTTATTAAAGATAATAAATAAGAATATTGCAAATTCTTTATAATTTGGTTTATTTATTTATTTATTTAAATTGATGATTATATTGTACAATGGTAGTTATGAAATTTAAACATTGTACCTAAGAGTTATAGTTCAGCATGATTGACTGGATTGTTATTTTTCCATTGTTGAAGTTTATATGTAAATAAAACTTTTATACCAATAGGAACATTAGGAAATTTTGACATCAATTCTTTTATGTGATGCTTTTGTATGATTTTTAACACTGGTATGGTGATCATCTCATCTAAATTCAAAATAATCAATTATTAAAGAAAAATACACTTCATTATGACTTAAATTTATTACCAACAAATGTATCATAAAAGAACTCCATCTTCCACTCCTGTAATAACGCGAGCAAATATGGACAATGTTCTACTGGATAGGCAAAGTTATAGACATCTATTGATGGCATGATTACTTGAATGTTATTTGGTTCCTGTTGAAATAAAATATTAAATATTAATCATTACTAAATTAATTTATTGAAAATTAAGATGATTTTTTTTTCAGATTGGATAAAAATTACATCATGATTTATTATTATAACTTAGATGTAAATTTAAAATAAATAACAGCAGATTGATAAGCTCAACTGCCTTTTTTAAAATCTAGCATTGTAATACCCAGTGGCGCAGAATACTTCCATACTTAAGGTGGTGGTGTAGGTGGTATTTTGACATTTCCGCTATTTAACCTATTTCCCTCCCACTCAGGATTTTAGTGGTATTGGACATTTATTTTCCCCTCTGAATCAGTGCATATATTTTTTACAAATAAATATTGGAAAAAAGGTTCATTGGTTTCACTCAAAATATTACATGATCATCTATCGACTGTTATCATTCACATTATGGATTGTTCACCCAATTTAATGGTTAATGATTGATAAACCAAAGATATGTAAAAGTATTATAGAATTATATTTATACATTAAATCAACAATTTGAGTAATTATTTTATGAAAAATCTCGTAAATAGTAACTACATTTATTTAATTGTATTTGTAATTTGTATGTTGCTTAATATTGTCTAATATTTATATTAGTGAATTATGTATTGGCAAAAGTGGTATTATAACATATTATTGAATTATAATAATACATTGATATTTATTTATTTAATTATATTATTAATTTAACAATTTGTAAATTTATTGATTTGAATTACATATTAATATATTATTGTTAAATATTTTTACTTTTAATTTTTTGTCTAGAAGGGAATGTTCCAGTTTTTGAGGGGAAACATCCAATGAATCGGGAGGGAAACATCCTAGATTCAGAGTAGGTACACCACCTAAAATGAGTGGTGGTCAAATCAAACGTTTTAACATAATTATACATTACATAATATTACCTATATCATATCTATTACTTTTAGCAATTGTATTAAATTGTTCTGTGAGGATGGATGGGGTGGTTAACTTATAAAAATACAATTTGCATAACTTAATAAATATTAATTTAGTGTCTCTGGTAGTACCTATATTATGGTATGAACACAGCACCTTCATATTTTTCAATTGTTAATTTTTTTATTTTTTTATTTATTCAAAAAATACTTTTATTGAACTAGAAAAAAAGTTTTTAATTTGTGATAAAACAAATTGTTCTACTAAATATCAGGCATATTATCAATCAGGAATAGCTTTTTCTATTTGAATAAAATATGATTAACCCTTGGTTTTTTAATTTGGTTATTTTTAAACACAGATAATGGTATAGTGTACATCACGAGAAGATAGATATATCTATTTTGTTATGGTGTACCTATATTTTTTTATATAAACTGACATTTGGGGGAGTAGAAGTATATTCTAAAAGTATTGTCTGAATTTTATAAAGCAAATATTTTATTAAGAGATCACAACACGAAAATTTGTTTTCTCCATATTATAAGTGTGTAGCATAGACATATTACGCTCAACATATCACGTTGACACGTTTAGCTTGGTTAGTTTAAAAATTAGAGTGAATCGACCTATTATGAAACTTGATGGTAAGAATATTATCTGTGTTTATATGTAGATTTTTTATGACAGTTACACACTTGTAAGACGAAGACAACAAATGGTTGTGTAGCGTTATGTGATAACAATAAATCTGTTTCTTTCTTTATTCTCGCTTAGATACCTATATGATATAACGTAAATAATAAATGTTCATAACTCACAAACTGAACAATCCTATAAAACTCACATACAAACACAGATAATGTACGTACTATAAAGTTTTATAATAAGAAGTTCGAATCACTATAATTTTTAAACTAACGAAACCAAGTGTGATCTGCTAAGTGTATATTTTCTATGTTATACACTCGTAAGGCGGAGAAAACAAATGTTCGTGTAGCATCCTCTTAAAACATAAATATGTAATGTTTTTTGAAAGAAAACAGACATTACTTAATGATTGAGAACAGAATGCCTCATAACAAGACAACAAGTATAGATGCTTTCAAGTCGTAATAAGTTACCATAAATCACAAATAATTGAACAGCTTACCTGTTGACTCTAGCCTATAGACAAAAACCAAAATAAAATAAAATATTGTGAAATGTAAATCAAAAGACGTGTATAATAAGTAATAACTAATATCAACAATTAAATTTTTATATCTACTAAAGTAATTTTGATTAGGCTCAAGGTTTATAGATAGTAGAGGTTGCATCAATGTGATGTAAACAAATCAAAACCCACCGCTCCGTCACCCACCTAGTGACGTCACTCATCGTACAAAATGTAGCTGATATTTAGTATTTGTATAACACGTAGTACAAGTTTATGATTATTAATAGTGTTTGTGTTGTTTTACTTTTTTTAGGTACAATATTTGTTTATTAATATTTTTCTAGTTCTATGTTTATAAAACATGTTTCTTTTGAAAATCAATAATGTTAAAATGAAATATTGCCAAAAAGCAATGCAATTAGCTATAGTTTACTATGCAAAGTAGTAAGTACCTACCATACGCGTCGCATCAAATACTATCATCTATAAACCTTGGATTAGGCTAATTTGCATGTTCACAGATTGTTGGTGTACATAGACTACCAATATTTGACCGTACGTTGGCTACTTCAGTGGTATCATCTGCTTCAAATGTACACAAATTCAACATTAATTAACAGTTCTGACACTTATTTTCAGTAAATACAAAATCTGAATGTTTTTAATTCTGCATGTTGATCATACATAGTTTAATTATACTAATGCATTCAAACTACAATAAACAGTTGCCAGTATTTGAAACCCAGAGCTGAACTACTAGCTGATACTACTCGCTGAACCAGTCCATGCCTTTCAGAAAACTAAATAGATTTTCTATTACATCTTGATTCAGCCTTCTTCCATTGATGTACTCTATACAATGTTCATCATTTAAATATTTTGGTAAGTATTTTAAAGATCTATTACTGTTCCTATAATTATTAAAAAATAATTGATAAAAATATATATATCTATACTATTATATAAAATTATAAGGGGTTTTCTACGACCTCGCTAACCGAGAAAACTACTTGGCTGAAATTTTTTACTGTTATACCCGACACTCTGCTGAAGGTTTTAATACCACTTTTGTCAATAAAAAATATTAATTTATTATTAATTAAAATAAACGTGAAAATTGTATACCTACATATACCTTTTTAGTAAGAAATAGCCGCTGGCTGAAATTAAATAACAATCAAACTCGACAACCACAGATGCTTCTAGGCTGGTCGTGGAATAATGAACAATTATTATAAGTATTTAGTTTAGCAAAAAAAAAAAAAAAACAATTAATTTTATCTGAATATCTATTATTAATATTTATGATCAATGGTGTTACATTAGTTATTGGTAAAAAATAACTAATAACTTACTGAATTTTCACAAATTGCTTGCTAAGATAGTTGAGTTGCACTTATAGCTGCTCATCGGCATATCCACAGTCAAAATAAAAAATAAAATATATTATTCATAAAAAGTATTTACCCCTAGCTTGGGGTACGATAATAATAGTATAATATAGTATAATACAGTGTCCTACCAATGTAATAATATAATATAAATATAAAATAATATTATATAATATAACATAATATCCTACCAATGTTTTTCTCAAGGTCAACTATACGTCGCCCTGTCACTTGTGACATCCAAATTTAATTTGTATATTTTTGCCCCTATCCAAAAATAGTTGATAAAGTCGTTTACAAAGAAATTTTATAAGTCTTTGAATTATCAAAATACTGGCATAATTTATATCTTTTGTTCTATCCATAGTTATACCTACAAAATGTACATACACAAACTCTAATTTTAGCACTTCGTACATTAAATTTATTAAATAAAAAAAAGTTGCAATATGCATAAATTTTTCTATTGACACAGCGATGTAATTTTTTTTCAACATTATGAAGAATCCTCGGTGGCGACGCTAAATTTATATGGCTACATTACCACGGAGAAGTGACTAAAATAAAAATAATTATTTAACATCCAGAAAATAAATAGCAAATTAATATCTGAGAAATCTTGCAATAGCAAATCATTGCCGGGTCAGCTAGTTTTATTATAAAATATAAAATTACAATCTTTTTGAAAAAGAACAAGGGTTTTTTTCTCATGTACTCACATTTCCAATATAAAAATATCTACTCATTTTATCTAAAAGTTCATCTTGATGCTCTGAATGTATTCCATTGCTTGGAGTACCACCATACAACTTATGCTGACCATTGAAGATGTCTTATTGAACTGCAGAATCATTTCAGAATCCTATTTTTCAAGTAAATATATATTCATAGATCTATTAATTGTAGCACATAAATTATAAAGCTTCTTACATCTTTCCAATTTAGCTTATCCAGATAATTTTTTCTCTCTATATTAAGGTATGTCTTCACCAACAGCACCTGACAGTACTTGTTCAATCGTTTTTACGTTCATCTGACCACAACCTTCAACTGCCAGATGTCTCTCAGTCAAATTATGTGCTAATTTTAAGACTCCTAAATCAACTTTAAAAAATCTTTAAAATTGATTTAACTTTATACTTTGAAGTTGAAAGTACGAAACCACTAAAAAAGAATATAATTTTTAATTAAATATTGAACTTGTCAATTACGTGATTTCTGGATAATTTCAAGGTTAGGTTAGGTAAACAAATTTAGTATTTAGTCACAAGTTTAGTTTACCTAATCATTCATTTGATCTACTGGTTCATGGTTGTACACAGTCTTACAATCTTGACAATAATATTATAACTAGGTAAATATTATCATTGATTATAAATACTATAGATAGCCCACTATGTTACAAAATATGCTGCTCTGAATTAACTAGGAATCCTGGTGTACCTCCAAGACCTCTAGTGTATTTGAGCTCGAAATTTTACTTGAGTGATATATCTTTTAAATGTGATATTTGTGAGGTCAACCGATAAGCAATTCAATACCAATTTTAATAATTTATACAACAAATATTCAAAACTGTAGTACCATACTGTGATGTACCTACATATTCTTCTATCCAATTTGTATTCACTGGGTATAGTATTCTTAGGAACACTTTTAAAATTTATTCAGAGCACATATTTAAATAGTTACTAGTATTTCTAAGTCTATGCAATGTAGGAAGTAAGAACATATTATTGTGTGTGTTTAAAATAAGAAAATTTGACTATTTATTTACATATTTTTACTTTTTTTTCAGTCAAACACCTTAAAAATAAAATAATAATAATAATAATTTTGCGAATATTTGTAATAAAATATAATACCTATAAACGATGATAAAGGATGATGAAATTAATTTGAAAAAATCTTCTTAAGTTTCGAGTGTTTCGACTTAACTGTTTTATTTTTAGTGCAACGAAAGACTTTTATCAGGGGTCTTTTTGCTTAGATATGTTTTCCAATTGCCACCCAAAATCTAATACCGCATAGCAGATTGCCTCCATTGATTTTTAATTGCATATATTCCATTGATAATTGAGAAGTGAGGACAGGTCCGTCTTACACTCTCAGTCTGAGGAGTAACTTTAAATTAAATATGTAAAAAAAAACCATTGTTATTTTCTAAAACGAATAAAGGTACTTTTTGAGATAATGTTGAGGGCTTACTGCTGTGATGATAATCATCCAGTATGTACATCAGTGGTTCCAACCTTTTAAAACTCGCGGTTAGTTATTTTCTAAAATTTATTATATAAATTTATATTTATGTTTTATAACTTTGGTTTTATTAAGCTAAGTAGTCTAGACAAAAGTAGTAGGTATATACACATATGTATTATATTTTATAAAACAAATTATTACATTGAACATAAACAAAATATTTTTATTTTTATTATTATTATACAATATTACATGATATACATTATCAATATTAATCAAAAATTAGATAACTTATAAAATTAATGTGGCACTTGGACTTGTTTTGTTGACTCTAATCTTTTATTCATGGTCGACTAGTTGAAAGACGTACTCGGATTTCTTGTTCAATGAACTTAATTTTCATTTGTATATTGATTTTTATGTTTACAACAGTTTAAAATCCGTTTCAAGGTTAGTTTAATTTATTTTTATTTAGCTTATAGGTCTATGCATGGCAGTAAGAAGAGTAGGTAAGTAAGTAGACATAGATATAAAATTAGATTCATTATTCTTATGAATGTATGATCAAATGTTCTGATTTTATATCGATGTCTATTTACTTCTGTCATAAGATCCACGCAGACGTATAAACTAAATAAAATAAGTTAAACTACCTTTGAAACTGATTTTCCACTATTGTAAACATAAAAACCAGTATACAAATGATAAATGGAGTTCATTGAAGAAAAATTCAGAGTATGCCTTTCAACTAGTCGACGATGAATTACAGATTTGTGTAAAACAAAAACAAGCCCATAAAAACAAATAAACAAATGAAAGTTAAACTAACTTAGTTTATATGTATATGTGAGTGGCTCCAAGTGTACACATAGTACCAGCTGTATATGGTGTGTGCTGAAAAAGTAAAAAATTGTATGAACATAAAGAGATTACATTTTTATTAATAGAATATACAAAATTATATTAAATATGGATGGATAAACTCAAAATGATCATTGTTGTTGAATGATGGTATTAATGCTAGGTATTGTTACGTAAGTAATAAATAAACTAAAATACTCATGTCAAATGTTTCATTTACATACATTAATATAATTTATTTGTAAGGACTAATGACTTAAAATTAAAATTAAATAGATAGGTAATATGGATGTTCTTTTTCTTTAAGTTTCCTTAAATTATTACGAGCCGTCTCAATACAATATTCAACTAACAGTAAATAAAAAAAATATTTAACTAAGTGTTAATTTTTGCTGTGGACTTTCTATAATATGGTTTAAGCCCCCCTGACAATTTTTCCTATTTGATCCACAGGGATGATATTTTTAATGTTCTAATTTTATCAGATATCTAAATGCAACCAGAACTTTTTTCAAAGTGTTGCTGTAGAGGAAATATTTTGTTTGGCATGCCATGAAACGTTTGTCATAGTTTTGTCATCATAATGTAAAACGATCACACAATTGTTAATTATAATTAATTGATAATTTATATCTATACAATATACATATAACTTTTACAGTTTCAGTAGTTTCACTGCTTAAATATACTAATGCAGCATTGCATGAAAAATTGATAAAATTTAATGGACAAACCATGTGCCACTATATCTTGTTTAAGAGACCATTAGCTCACTATTGATTCATTAAATATTAAGCTTAACCAGGCATTAGTAAACTATTTTATACAGCCCTAGTGCGAGTGGACTAGTTGCATCATTTCCTAAATGAGTACCTAGATGATTTATCATATTATAGACCCACAAACTTTTTGAAGGAATGCAAGTATTGGGGATATACATTTATTCATACTTCTTAAAAACAATTTACATACCTAAAACCACCAAATGTAACGTAGTTGCAGATTTTTTACTCATCACAAAATTGTATAGTATCGAACTCATATTAGCTATCAAAGCTATTAGCTTGATAACCAACCATGGGTAGACCAGTCGATGATTCTGAAATTTAATAATTGGAATATTGTATCAACATATTTATGTATGTTATACTTAATAATATTATTATTATTACAGTATCTATACATTATACATACAATATAACATATATAATATATTATATAAGAATAAAATACATACCTAAAAAAATAAAATATTATAAATTAGGCACGTCAAATACCTATACGTAATATTGCATATACATTATACAGTTTTCTCTTATGGGACCATTTTTTTTACAAAATAAGATTTTTATTGAACTAAAGCCCTGCAACTATGGTCATTAGCTGTTTGTAGGGAGAAACGGTTTAATTGAAACATGTATTTGTATGTGAGGCAAGGATGTGTTCCTAAAAACCTTTATGGTCACCCATCCCAGTGCTAGTAACGATGGCCGAAAAGTACACGTTCAGAACGCACAAACGCTTCTCACCAAGCCACAATATTATATTACATCTATTCTAAATTCTAACTGTTGATTTTTATAAATTAGTATTAATAGAGCACGAACGAGTTAAATACGTGAATAATTAATACATTTATTAATTTTAACTATGTTTCGATATTTATATTTTTACATGTTATACCTAGTAATAATTAATATTATTTTTAATAATATACTTATTACTTATAATACCTTTACGTATAGTGGCGAAGCTTGGGTTCGGGATTAGGGTAGACAAATTTAAAATAATATTTTTCAGAAAAAAATTATTTAAACGACAAAAAAAATTTAAGCGGAAAACAACAACTAAATAGTTTAAAATATGTTTAAAAAAATCATCAATTTAAATATGAATTATTATAAATACACTGCTATTAAAATTAAATACGTATTATACTATTATTATTATTATTGCTCACTATATAGATACGAATAAGAAAAGAATATTACTATATTATATCCGATGGCGCGGCGCGACAATCGCGACGGCGACGTCGATAATAAATATTGAGGATTGTGGTAATTACGAACGGCGAGACGTGTCTCATAGCGTACATAGTAAACCCCACTCTGATTAACATTCCCCCCTTACCCGACCACACTTATTTGTGAGACATTGCTTCGCAACGTCTATTAGATAATATAATACCATATTTGGAATGACCCATATCGCGCGCTTCTAATCTATTTTAAGAAATCCATAACTGTACAACACGTCAACACTACAACGAAAAACCGATTTTAACAAATACTGAAACATATACATCATATATTTTATAATATAAAATAAAATTCACATTTTCTTATATTAAATAAAACAAAATAATTATTTGTTTGTCCCGTGTTCTAATTTCTAAGTGGGGAGACGTCTCTTTGTCTCCTATGACGCTTTGCCACTGCGGTATAATATATCTGTATTATTATTATTATTATTTATTATTATAAATTTTATTTTCGATGATAAAGATTATTATTATTATAAATTTTATTTTCGATGATAAAGATTATTATTATTATAAATAATATGTTGTCAATTTCAAATTTGTATTATCTTACTTGTTTAAGAACACCAATAATCACCAATACATCACAAATCGTTGATGTTGTTGTGTACGCATAACTCCAATACTCTTCGAAATGGCACGACACTATAAAAGAGTACATAATTTATCTAAACATTAAGTAAAAACAAAATACTCCATAAACCCTATGCATTAAAAAATTTCGAGGATATTTAATGTAAAAATTGTAAATTTTGTAACTTATTTACAAAAAAAAAAATGTATTTGTCTGGATCAACATTATTTTGTTAAAAAAAAAATCTTAGGTATGTAGCCTTAGAATAGATACCCTATATAATTATTCATCTATTCTTCGAATATTTAATCCTACTCATTTTATTTATTACTTGTATATTGTATTGACTCGTTTATATACTTCTGTATATCTTAAATAAAAAATTTCAAACTGATGATTTATTTTTAATTTTTTATGGCAAGTCCAATTTTACACATATAAGTATATAACTGATTGACACCTAAATTTCAATTCATTTGAAAATATCATTTATTTACAATATATTAATATATTATAATAGTTGAAATATAAGAATTTATAATATGTTGCAGCTTATTATATTATTTATATTTTTTGGTTCCAAACTATTTCTTGTTTTCGCAATTACATTCGTATACATATATATTTTTAGTTATTACTTACAAAATTCCTCAATCTCTTCTTCTATGTTTGATAACTGTACAAAATCAGCGACAACAGGACAACTATAATAATCGTTACACAAACACCATTTCTCTAAACCATTAACAGCTTTCATCATCTAAAATAAATGAAAACATTTTACGCATTTTTGAAATGATTTTGAGACATTAGTGACTATTTAGAGGCTATAGTGTTTATGTTAACGTTATAATTTTTCATACTTATTAAGCTTAAATATTTTTAACAGTATAGGAATCGATCATAGTATGAGATTATATAAATAATAGAAGATACTTCAAAATATTTTGACTAATTAACTTTAGTTAAATATCAAATGCACTCTACATTACGGCGAGAATATAAACAGATTATCTTAACTACCTATTCATGGTTATATTATCCTTACCAGTGACGATATAACAAAGGCCAAGATGTACCAGCTTATTGACGGGCATGCAGTTTTCGATTTTATTATACTTCTTCTGATCTATAATCAAAGATAATTAATTTAAATAATAAATAAATAATTAACTTTTAAAAATATTTTTTTTTGTCAAATTGGTTTCAGTATTTAAACAAATTACTTGATATATTTTGAATTGTAAAAAAATATCTTCACCCCAATTCACCAAACGTGTGAGATGGTTTGATACCATGTTTGATCCAATTATATCAAATGTTCTAACCAATTAACATCCAGATTTAATGAACAGCAAATAATAACGTTTTTCCTTTAACAAAAATGTTTATAAATAGTTTTCATTACGTTGTCAGAGAGTTTTTTAACGTCTTAAACACATTGATTGGCCAGCAAAGTAATATTTTATTCAATGTTTTTTATATAAAATTAAGAAAAAATACATATAATAATTTAAATATATTTCTTTTTCAAGTGTGAGACATTTTTTTAAAAAATATTTCAGATTGATGACTAGAATACATTTTATAATACCTTAGGTAGCATCTACACTAGTATACTACGGCAGACTATGCTACCGGGAAGCCTGAAAAATTCATTGTAGGTATCTCTTCGTATTTTAATTTTGTCTTTTAAATATACCATATTGTGCTATACGTATACAAAAAATAATGCATATGAAGGGACCTGTGTAAGAACCAGCAGCTCCATTTTCCTTCAAAGTCGGGTTTTAATTGAATTTGACGAAGCAAAAAACTACGAGTTTATCTGTACAAAAACAAGTCAAATCCGACCGCATCGCCTGTATAAGAAATATAATGTAAGTTGGAGTTGTCTGGTTTTTTTTCCGTTGAAAAACCATATAGCTCCGGAGGTTTTTTATGTGTCTTGAAAAGTTTTCTACTGAAAATAAACAAGACAGAGATCATATAAGAGTAAGAAAATACATTAATTTCTTCATTGATATATTTTATTGTTATTTCATTTTTTGTTGTTAAAAGACGCTGAGCTAAAATATTATTCACTTTTGAATACTAAAATAAAATTCATAATCATTTTTTTTAGGAAAATGATGGAAGTGATTATGATGTTCTTCAAGATGATTTTATGGGAGGAACTAAATTTAAAGACTGGGATAAACAAATTAAAATTACATTAATGTAGAAATGAAAGTTTTTTTTAATTTTAAATACTATTTACCATATTTCCGAATCAAATTGCCAAATGTGACGCTTCCTGCTCCTGGCCCCTAGTTTCTTGTAACACTACAATCTGTACTTACGTTATATATTTCGACCACTTCTGTTAGCGTTTGGAGGGCTCCCAATTTTTATAAAGTCTCACATTCCAAGTTCTAATCCTTAATCCATGTTGTCCAGTTTGATTCCAGTGTTCATTGTCCATGGCTCTGTCCCGAGGCTTTTGTTTTGGTTTCTTGACCAGGTATTTTTACAGTGACGGAATGTTAGCCCGTCAAAAAACCCCACAATGTAGGGCCTGTCAAACCAACCAACTAAGATCAGCCCTTAGTTCGGGGCCCCGAGTTCACCAGACCCGTAATACTAATTATCTAGTATTCCCCTGAGGGACGTCGATGTGAATAATACAAAAAATATAAAAATAATTCTCAATTCAAGTGATTGTTTTATATTTAAATATTTCAATCAGAAGCAGTAGTTTAGGTAGCGTAGGTGGATTTAAAATTTAATTTCATCTTATCACTACGTATTTTATTTTATTTTATTTTACTATCACAGAGTAGTGGTTGGCATTGAAAACAATAATCTAAAAAAATAGTTAAATAATTAAAATTAATGTTTACCAAATAATATGAACCTAATAAGATTTAATACTCATTAGTCATATTATCATATTATCATACTTATGTTCTATGATATTATTAAAATTAAAAAGTGTAAAGATTGTATAGAAATCGAGAAAATGTCATAACAATAATATGCAGTAGATACCTATTTTATGTTTGATTATTATTTATTATATTCATTTTGGAAATAAAATGGACTGATTATATATACACTTTAAGCTGCATTCTCTTGAATTGGAATTTATAATCTGATGGTGTCATTGGTATGCGAGGAATAAAAACTGATTCATCTTTTGCAGATCCGGTAATAATTTGAGCTTCTTTCAAATTTTTTTGAAGACTAGTTGTACGTAGACTAGTCTCCTTGCACAATTTTGGTGGACTAAGATTTCTAAGAAGCATTATAGGAGTACCAATTTTTAATGTTGATAAATGTGGTTGAAATCCAGGAGTGTTGAGCGAATTGAGAAATTCAACTCGATAATCAACTGCATCGTCTATTTCTAGTACTGAATTCACTGATCTGTATTGACTGTACCTATTCTATATTTTTTACATGGAAAGAGTCCAATAATATTTTGTTTATTTTCTTGCTGCATCATTTTTTGATGTCAAAATAGCACACAACCAGTCCATTGATATTTCTTTGAGGTTTTCGATCCCAAGATAGATTTTGTGTGGAAGTTGCTTTAAAGTTTTGACAACAGTACCTAATCCTATCGGGAAAGTAACTTTTTCTTCACATTCTGGATATTTTCCATCTCCTATTTGTATGAGTAACTCAGAAAACTATTCAGCAGTCCTGTCTCCTTTGAAATGTACTCGCATATTTTTAGTCAAAGAAAATTGTCGTATTTGAGGCCACAAATATGAAGACTCGGTGCATGCTGCAATTTCATTAGCTTGAGTTTGAGCTTGTCAGATTAAACTTATAAAGCAGCTTGTCCAAAAATCGCTGCCTTGCAAATAGGACAGCCTCTTCTAACAGTTTTATCATTTATGTAAATAATAAATACTGCACACCAGACATAATATTTTATTACGTCATAGTTCATTGAAAATGTGTAATATTTGTCAACATCTGTCGTATTATAATTTTCCTATAAATATCCGTTCAACGAAAATTTTTATTTTTATACGTTTAAATAAAATATATTTACTTTTTGTTTTCCAGTTGAACTGTAGTTATAAACCTATAATGATAATTATTATAATATTAGCAGCTCAATAATCTGATCGATATGCTGTAGTGTAGTTATTTTTATAGAACATTTTGTTTAGAAATGATTTTTGTTTTTATAACAATTTAATTTGATTTTAGATTCTGAGTGGAGCTGATCGATGAATGTATTGATTTTACAATGAATTTTTTTTATTGTATCTGTCATCACCTTTTTGGACGCCAGAAGGTAAAAATACTTTGATTTTCTTCAACAGCATCTTTTTTGATAGGACAGCGAATCCAGTTGGTAACTTGAGGGTCAATACTAAAAAATTCCCAATAGTTTTCAAACGATTAATAAACGAAAAACTAAGGAAAACTAAAATTTTTACTCAAAATTGGTTTTTGACGAAATCGATTTTAGTTTTCGCCTTTTGGTGTAACTCTTAAAAAAAATGTATATAGATACAGACATTTTCTCTGTATATTTATATCTACATTTTTTATATACCATACAATTTTCAAGAATCGTGTTAAACTATTTATAGCCATATACAATTCTTGATTTTTTTTAAAAATGTATGTCTATAAAAAAATATTTACTTTTCCAAGAAACTTTAAAATGTATAATACAAGAGGCTCATAAGTCGTTATAAGTGGAAATTAAAAAAAAATCGTAGCATAGTTAAAAATAATTTTTAATGGGCATCTGAATTTCAATTTTTAAAAAAATTTCAAAAATGTTGCAAATTATTTTGAGTTAGAAATTCATAAAATTGTTTTTATTTATATCTAAGCTTTAAAATTTGAATACGAATTCGCCTTCAATTTTCTACATTTTCAAAGTTAAATGTTTACCGGAAAGTCAAATTATTTTTTTACGAGGGTTTGAATGTAGACATTGGATTGAATTATTCCTAAATTTACAAATTATCGATTTGAAATTAAAAAACAAATAACCATAGATATTTGAAATCCACTCAAAATGTTTGTTTTATCATTTCCTATACTAGAAAAATTTTTAAAATATTTTAACTGGTTTTGAGCTGTTTACGGAAATTTTCAATTTTCAATTGCTTTAGTTTTTTTCTGTAAATGTCAAAAAAATATTGTTTGTTTCGTCTAAATATTTTAAAATGTAATTCAAGGATCCAACAAAATCAAACTCAATTAAAATATATTAAACAATAAGAAATAACTTTTAGTAATTGGGTATAACAGTTTATATAAATATGTTAACATATTTAATGTCTATAAAACAATTTTTCCTCATTAAAAATACAAGGTTCTACATAAGTTGTTCTTTAAAAATAAAAAATAAATGACCGTAAATCATCAATAATTTGACATGTGAGAGTTTGAAGTTTGAATTTTAACAAAATTCGTCTAAAACGAAAATTTGCAAATTATTTTGAGTTAGAGAAATTTCTTTATATAGACACTTAATGTACAACAGAGTGACATCCACTTACTAGCTTTTTTATTTTATGTTTTATAGAAAAATATTGAAGTATGTAAATGGTAATACGAGTACCACGCAGTTTTAAATATAATTATAAAGGTTAAATATACTATATACTTTATAATTATATAATATTAAGTGATTTATTTGATAAGAAATTAATATGAAAAATGATAACGTTTTCATTCTTTACAACTTTTTGAAAAAAAAAATATGTGTTCATGAAAATGTACATCACTATAGTTATTACTTATATTCAAAGCATGGCTTATTTATGGCATTAAAAATATTATGATATTACATATGTATTTTATATTTTATTTCTGACAAATTCTCTTGAGAACTGCATCTTTAGACTCCTCGACTTTGATTAGTACCAGCTTGTATTGTCTTATTTTGTATTTAATTTGAGGTATATGAATAGTATGGAAAAATCTGCAAATTAATTATTGTATTTCCAATAATATGGTTTATTGATCGGAATTAAATCATTTTATGTATTTATTTATGTGGACAGATTAATGAAGTGATTAAACCAAACATTATCGTGAACAATTATTGAATTATATACCTGTAAAAATGGCAAAGTACCCGATGATCATTTTTACTTTTTCCACTTTCTTTGATCCTTTAAAATATAAATTAATAGCAATAATAACTATGATTAAAACAATACATTTTTATTATAAATATTCATTTCTGCAACTCATATTTTTTGTATTTAAGTTAATGTTACTTGAATAATCTTTATTTTATTTATCCTTACGAATTATATTTTTTTAAGTTTTTTTATTAAGATAACCACCCGCCATAGACTGATAATTATATTTATTTTTGTTCGATAAACATTATATGAAAAATCATATGTCATATCTGAGATTACATTAAATGGAATATTGAAAGCAATTAAAAACGTATGCTAAAAATCTATTTACTATTTTCTATGTTACAATACAAAAATATTACTTTATGTCATAATAAAGTGGTCATCAATTACACATTCCACCTAAATAACTTTTGAATGGTTTGAAAAAATAGTATGTTTGTAATAAATCCCTGGTATAGTAGTATGAGCTGATTAATACGTACGTTTCGCCAGCCCCCCCCCCCCCAAAAAAAAAGAAAATCTATAAACAAACTATGCAAATATTTAGCACGTAATTCGCACGACCTTCAAAAAATTCATTTCACAGTTCGTTTTATATGATTATCATCTAAAAATCTAAAATTGAAAATTGATTTTGTAGTCAAACAATTTTAAAATGTTCAACTTTTATAGCTAAGGGTTGAACATTTCAAACAAGGTTCCACGTAAGTAGGTTATTCTGTAACCAAAAAATCTAAAAACATATACGTACAATCTTGTTTTAGTTATTTTGTGTTCAAATATGTGGACGAAATTACATATTAAATAACCAAGATTAATGTTTTAAGTTATTTTGTTGTAAATTAAAAATATTATTCGGTATATACTGGTAGTATACTGGTGGGTCGTCAGTCAATTTTTGGTGGTTCGGGAACATTTATTTTAATTATATAGATTCCAAGAAATTTATGTTAGGTACCTCATTATAAAAAGTATATTTTAATTATATTAATTATATTTGTATTCATATTAACTATAAATCTATAAAAAAACTAAATATCGAATAAAAATGTATACATATTTATATAATACAAATTTTGTTTTTCTCAAATTGTTGAATAGTGAAACAATGTGGGTCGCGAAAGATTTTTCGAAGGAAATTTAGGTCACGGTATTAAAAAGATTGAGAACTACTGCTTTAAAGTATATTATTATATTTTATACACACGATGACTTTTCAAAAGTATTTTTTTTGGAATGAATTTTATCTACTGCGTAGTACTAAGGTTTACTCTATAAATTACCTACTTTCATAGTTTAATCACAATAATATCATCAAATATACTAAAATACTGTATATTATAAACTGACGGACCGTTTTCGCTCAGAATCATCTTTCGTATACAATGATTTTATATTGTATTGTCTTCAAATTTAATACTATCCATTACAGTTCCCATTAGGAACCTACTATACAGTAAAACGACATCTTTTTATTTTTTTTTAATTTACAATAAAAATTTTTTTTGGAAGTATTCAGTGGATTTGTTGTTGATTGGAAGTCTTAAATATTAAGGTGCTAAATATTCGTGCAGAATTGAGCATCAAGCATTATAATATGTTATATTCTTACAACCCGCTAGATATTTACCCATTTGTTTTCAAATTTTTATTATTTTATAAATAAACACATTATAATGTATGTGGTATAAATCATCTACATGACACTCGCTCAAACTTACGACTATTGTATGCGCTCGTTGATTCTACGCTTACCCTATCTAAGCTGAAAATGACTCAAAGATTATATACACCTCTTGGAGGTATTCAGTAAAATAAAACTTCATTGACACATAGTAAAATTGATTTTAAATTCTAATATTTATTATCAATGATAGTAGGTATATTTTGACAATATTCCTATTAAAAGGTATGAACATAAATGGACCAAATGTAAACATATTTATTTCAACCATAATAACCTAAATTTACCTATTATTAAAAATGGGTCACGCTCAGATGAGTTAAAACTTAAAAGGCTGCAAATCAAGTTCCATATGGAAGTATTGTATTAACAAATACATGCGCGTTTGATGCATTTGCGTCATTAATAATGGTGCCTATATATTTTTGTTTTTAATTTAACGCGATTAAAAATTGTTATTAATATATTCATTTCATATTTTAGGTTTCATACTGTGACAGCAATAAATATTCAGAGAAGATTGATTCTAGCAATAATGAATTTTTGAACTTTATTTCTAAAGTTGTAAAAAATGGAATAACATCTGGAACATACTCTGAACGTGCAGATTTAATAATAAATAAAATTAAACCTGCCATACAGCAGTTGGAATATGGTACCATGTTGATTAGTTGTGATACCACTATCACTAACACAGTAAACTCAATGTTTAAAGAGCTCCCGAAAGTAACAGAAGAAGCAACATGTTCTTTAAGCTGTAAATTAACAGTGAACTCTTTAAAACTAAAGAGTTATATATCATACCAGACGGAAAATAGGAAAATAAAAAACTTGGAAGATTTTCTCGACAACTGTCTTCAATCCGTACATTCAACATGCCAATACATGGAATCCGGACATATTTGTGAGGGAGTTAAAGAAATTATGTCACATGTATCTGATATGCATTTATTCATCGATGTTTTTTATTAGGAAGGTAAGAATTTTGACTGACATATCCAATCATTTCTTATTGATTAAGACTATAAAATTATTCTTCATGCTTTTAAAATCCTTAAAATATGCATTTATTAATGCCTTAAAAAATCACCTAATATACAATAAAATAAAATATGCATAATCACATAAATGTACTTCTAAAATATATATTTTAAAACTAAAACATTTTTACAGGTAATAGTATTCATTTTTTGTAAAAAATATGCAGTTGTGTGCAAATCAAATGTATTTATTAAATATATTTAAATTAATACTCATATATTGAAACGTCGTCTTGTTAAGCTTGTCTAAAAACAAAAATTTAATGTATCGATTTTTTATTTATTTTTCTATAATTCATTTAAAAAGAACTAATTTTCACTCAAATTAATAGTTGTGCTAATATAACATTGTGTGATTAAAATTAATAAAAGCGTTTCAAATTTTACCCATACATGTCCCGGAGGCGAAAAAATGACAGTTCTTATAAGTATTCCTACATAATTTTTGTTTTTTTTATCAATTTTAAGAAAAAACTAAAGCCTAGTTTAAAAATATAAGTAAAATATGCACTTGAAATGAAAATACAACAAAATATGCATTAACAATTGAACAATAGTTAAATATGCAAAGCATACAAAAATAAATAACTGTACACTCCTGGTATTTTGAAATGGATTCTATATCACTAAGCTATGTTTTAATAAAAAATGAACTGACACTTTTTAGGAGATGAAGTGGTTTCAAACAATCATAGTTCGTATACAACAGCGCAAGTTAAAATACGACTGTCTGAAATACCAAAACTGTTTGTATACAACTACATCACTTATGAATTAAGAGGAGTAGTCAGTTTTCAACCGGCACAATCAAAACTAAGAACATCATTTGGGCATTACAATGTATACGCTATTAAAGGAACTAAACATTGGCAATTGTTTGATGACCTCAAGAAAAAACCAATTCCAGTAAAGGAAAATAAAGAAGTTTCTTGTGAACTACTGGTTTATACTATTTAAAATAACTATGCCCAATATTTTTTTATGCATTGCTAAATTGTAATCATACCTTTTAACATACTTACTTTTTAATTACAGAATAAATAGCTGTTTCATTCAAATTTAATTTAAATACTATAATATTTAAGGCTTCCCCAGTTTACAGCAAATCTGCTAAATACTTACGAAAAAAAAAAGTAGTTTGAAAACAACTAGGTGGTAACTTGCAAATTTCAGATGATCATTATATAGAAGGAACTGTGAAATGAATTTTTTGAAGCCACGGGGGCTGGTGTGACGTTTCGCTGCCCCCCCCCCCCCGTGCATTTTTGATTTTTGGAGGGGAAGGAAGGTCGTGCGAATTCCCAAAATAGACTTGCGAATTACGTGCTAAATATTTGCATAGTCTGTTAATAGATTTTCTTTGGGGGGGGGGGGGGGGCTGGCGAAACGTACGTCTGATTAATCAGAGCCACCAGATGTCCAGATGTAACGAACCGATGAAACGATTCCGTATGGGAAAATTCTATGAAAATTAATTTTTGTATTTCCAATAATACGGTTTATTGGATGGTTTTAGACTTGAGAGTAAAAACACCTATCATCAATATTGTAGGAATGAAGTTAATCTGTATATGTAATGTATACTTAGTTTAAGAAAAATTATTTTAATAACTGCATTTTTGAACTCCTGGACTTTGATAAGTACCAGCTTTTATTATCTTCTTTTGTAGTTATTTTAAGGAGGATGAATAGCATGGAAAAATTCTATAAAAATTCTATTTGAATTATTCTCTATAAAGTATAGATAATCTAATATTATTATCTAGATTATATAAATAATTTAATTAAAAATGTAAAATTTTGAGTTAAATATTGTAATGTTTATATATTTATACTTGAAATAAATTTTATAGTTTCGATTTATAATATCATTGTTATACATAACAATACTAATAATATTAGACTTTTAGTTATGAGTGGAAAATGCGATGAAGAGTTACCTGCTATAACGACATATAACTCAATAAACTGTTGGGTTTCTGGCATATTTTTCCTTGGAAAATAACTATTTTGTGGCTATTGTACATTTTTACGAACCTCATTTTTGACATCCTGATTTCTCTGGTTTTTCCATACATTTTGGTTACACCAGAGGAAAGTAGAAGGAATGTCCAAATGATTATGTGGCCCAAACCTAATGTATCCGAAGCAGTATTTATTTTAAGAGAGTCTGTTAGTAATTTAACTGTCTAGATGCATTTGGTTATTGCTCAATTCGGTTACAGTAACATGGTGTTTTCTGTTTGATTAAGTCAAAGTTCTGAATTCAATCAAATACATTTTGTTAGAGTTATAAACAATAATTTATTTAGAATAATTATTTTAATGATTAAAAAAATTGTTCTTTTACCTGAAAAATGCACATAATTCGGGTTATTGTTTGCAAATTTGGCTTTTAACAAACAGTGAAACTGCTTTATATTATTATTTGTTATACGCTTTCGTCCGTGGACAGAAATGTTTGTTCCAATAATTCTTAACCAATATTTTCTTTAGTGTTGCCAATACTTACATTTTTTAATGGTATCATAATAGAAGGGTCACCAAAAATATTGGTGACTTTATAATAGATGAGGGTCGCAGGATAATCTTTATGATACATATAGTATCGGCAACGCTGATTTTTTTCAATTTTGGTAATTTATAATATACAAGTTTAAGAAATATTTTAATTTAATTTTAAATTATTAATTTATAGTATTATAACTTATTATTTTATTGATAAGATATTATTTTATGCATAGATTAATTGAAAATGAATGGTTATTTTATTTAAAAACACAAAATATAGTTGATTGATACAAAATATATTTTAATCATGAAGTGTAAGAAAAATCCTTACGCTATAACTTTTTCCCTCTCAAACTTATACGTATAAATTAAGCAAAAGGTTTATATATTTACATTATGTAGTACATGTATTTAATTATTAAATAAAACGTGCAATTATCTAAGGTCAATTACTCTCAATCTTCGCCAAGTGCACTGTGATAGCTAGGTACCTACGTGTGTTTAATCATTATTTATAACTTCATTGGGTTCAATCTTATCGCCGTAGAGTTTTATATAATATGTACCTGCAAGATGCTATTATTTTTATATTATTCTAGCTCCTGCACATCACATAGGACTTAGTGCCGCAGAACAGCTAGTAGTTTTTCGAAAAAAAAAATCGTAATTAAGAAATTGCGGTGTCTGTATATATCATTTTTAAGATAGCACGATAATATATATATGCTATACTTAAATTCGAAAGTAGATTCTCGGCAACTACTTGCAGCAGCTTATCTTTCCCGTTAATGGGTTTATATTGCCCACTCTATGGACAACACTACATCTGTCGCAGGAGTATAGTATCTTGACCACACAGGATTATACATTTATACATTTGTTGCAGTTGCAATTTCCTTTTTTTCCGATGCTTTAAAAATTTATAAGAGCATTTCAAGTTGAAATTTGTACAACATTGGATATTCTCTCGATTTCTCATGGAATGATTTTCTTATTTTATTGTAGGTAATTGGTAATTCAGAAACAAATGACAGAAGATACTTGAAATTTCCAACATATGTTTATAGTATCATTTTCTATACTTGATAACATTTTCAAATGATTTTGACTTGTTTTGAGCTGTTAACGGATATTTTCAATTTTAAATTATTTTAGTTTTTTTTTTCTATAAATGTCCATGAAATTTCGTTCGTTGGGTCAAAAAGCTCGAAAATGTAATACAAGGGTCTTGGTATATTGTCACAATAGAAGTTGAAAAACATTAAAAATACCTGGGCACAATTTAATTACAAGCATTTAAATTTTAAAATTCAAATGTTGACAACATTTATTAAATTAAAAATATAAAATGTAAAAGATGTTAAACTTTTTTGGTTGCACTTAAGTAACTCATTCTGTAACCAAAAAATCTAAAAATTATGTAAACGCTTTATTTTAACCAAGAACAACAATTTTAGTTATTTTTCTGTAATTTAAAAATATTCGTTTGTTAATGAAACTTATAAAGCATATTATTATTTTTTATACACTCAATAACTTTTCAAATGTCATTTTTTTGGCAAAAATGAATTTAACCTACTGTAGTTATAATGCCTAATAGTAAAATAAATGACCTCAACCAGAATAATTTTATCATAAAATATACTAATTAACATTATAGGCTGACATACCGTCTTTGCTAAAAATCGATGAATAGAATATGATTTTACATCACAGCAACATCCACTTAGCAGCTTTTTGTATTTCGATTCTATACATGTATTATGCGCCTAATAGGCACTGCCAATACCACGAAACGAATTCATATCGAATCATTCAAATTAGATTTTAAATATTCAGCTTCCCAAGAAATATGAAATTCAGTTCCGAACCCTGTTTATGAATAACTTAAAAAATACTTACTTCCAAAAAATATTTTTGCTTAGTTTTTTTTTTAAACCATACATTTATTTATTTATTATATTATTATGTACTGTTATATATTAAAAATAACATACGGCGTGGACATACAGATCATAATATATTCATATATCATTATTTATGTATTTATCGATAATTATCAATAACCCTAATACCCAAAATACCAACATGTGTTTTTTGTTGACTTAGATTTTGTGATGCATTTAGAGTCTTGACAATATTATTCAATATGCATGTTTATAAATATAATACACATAACACATACCTAGGTATTATTAGTTATTAAATTAAGACTGAAAAATGTAATTTTAATAGTTTGTTTATTGAAATTAATATATGATATGTTAATGGCAATTATTATTATTTGATATGCGATTTGTTGCTATGTGGAAGTTACTTCGATATAACTACGTTTTCGTGTTGTCAAGTCGACGCGTCGTGTCGTCGTATGTTTTGTGTACCTACAAAATAGTTACTCTGTATTTGTTGAATAAGAATACAAACTATACTTACTTATTCATTTTGCTCTTGAAGTAACCATCGTACATATTATAATATTTATAAAAAAATGGCGAATATAGGAAAACCATCGGCAAAAGATCATGCAGAAGTGGCTAAACATGTGAAAGCAAGACTTTTTGATGAAGAACGAAAAAAACGAATTTTCAATCCAACCATTAGAACTATTGGTGTGAGTAACTATAATTAACTATATAGATAGTATAATAATAATAATAATATATAACTACCTACATCTTAATTCTTAATTCTCTTATTTTTTGACTCTAATTACTTAGTATCTTGCTGTTTGGGCCCTAGAACGCATAACACACATTACGCACTACCATAAATTTGTTATAATTTATTATTTTTAGCCAATGGCCTGTATCTGCCGCCGTTCGCCGACCGGTCTCACTCACGACACACCTAATCACCTTTTTAAATTATTGTTTCAATTTTGAATGTATTAAATGTGTCTTGTACTCTTGTAAATCATATAATTTTATAGTAGATTACGTAGATATGTACGAGGCTTATCGGCCTCTCGAGTTTAGTAGTATTTGCCCGGCGAACCCGACTACTACACCACAACTGTAGTCGTTGAATCTATTAAATTATTATTATTTCGATTTTATAAATATATAATATAGTAGAATATTCTTTATTAATTTTCTTACCAGGTGCGAGTGGAAGGTATTACACTGATTTTCGGGTCGTAAATAAACTCTCCTTAAAAACGTTCAAGACGACCGCGAATAAAATACTGGCACATAATAATCAAAACAAAAGTCACTTTACTTTTTTATCCTAACATATTGACCATAATAAAATAATAAAGTTTCCAAATAATAATCACAGAGGTGACAATTTAGAAACTATTAATATAACATTTTGCCGTTCAACAAAAAGTTGAAATTTAGGTAATAACACCGTATAACTTGGCTAGACAAAGAATTGTTATGCGAAATTCCTTTCGTATCTTTAAACATATTTACGGCGTTTATGATTATAGTAAGTGTAAGATGCGTACCTTAGATCCTTACTTAGTACTTCTAATTTTTTTGGTACCCACGGAGTTTTCAAAGAAAGATAATTTAGTTCATAGCCTATTCAATATTTCAATGACGGTTATTTCAGGATATTTTTTCTACAAATATTGTGTAAAACTGATAAACCTATCTAATTCATTAAAAAAAATGTAATTTCGATTTACGAAACTTTTGCTTAGCGCGGCAGTATCCTGCAGCTATTCCGTCATTATTCTAGGTTTCTAGATGTTAGTTGTGGTGTCCAGCATACTGACGCTGTGTGCTCCTTCAGGTCCGTACACTTGCACTGATTCGATTTTTAAATGATTGTATACATTTTATTTACGATTAGATCGACAAAGAAGCCCTTGATAAACAAGTCCAAGAAAAGAAAATACTTCGAGACCAAGAACAAGCAAAACATCAAGCGTTTTCAAACAAATTATTACAAGATTGTGCCACATCGTTGCAACTGGACGAACAAAACAGAAAAGTAGGTAATACCATGTCGCTATACGATATTTTAAGTTTTTTAAGATAATTAAATACATAAAGTAACAATGCAGTAAGCCAGTAACTACTAAAGTTTCTAATTTCAAAAAAATATATATAGTGGAACCTCTATAACTCAAATCGGTAGGGGGCGAAAAAAAAATTCGAGTTATCGAAATTTAGAATTACAGAAAACCTCGATAACTAGAATCGGCTACACAATTTTTTCACTTGAAAACACAATTATGTAGGTTCTTCATTTTATAATTTTATTTATTCAAGTACATATTTACTAATAAATGTATAATGTATGTAGGTATGTATATTGTATTAAAATCAAAAAAAAAGTATTCTATAAAAAAGTATAAAGTAATAAATATGTATGTATAGTATTGTAGTATGTATACATTGTATGTAAAAAAGAAAATACAATGTAATAAATAAAGTAGAACTATTTTTTAAAGAAATCAGATATTCTTAATTGTTTTTAATTGTTTGACTTATCTGTAAAGTTTTCAATAACGTTTAGCGCGGAAAAAAATCTCGTCTCCAATTTAATATGTACATATATATTAATATAAATTCAAGTTATAAGCCAAAATTTGTCTGAAAATATTTCGACTTATAGAGAAATTCGAGTTAGCGAAATTTGAATTATCGAGAAAATTTATCACACATATCATATATTGCAATTTGTAAGGCCAAGCCATTGCTTCGAATTATCGAAAATTCGACTTATAGAGGTTCGAGTTATCGAGGTTCCACTGTATGTATAAACTGGGGAGGATTTTTAAATTTGAAAAAATTGACTAAGTATATTTGAAAAATCCAAAATCAAGATTTGAATAAATTCGTTATTAAAGGAAAAAATTGGAGCGAGCATATGCTTGGTGAATTGCCCTTTACAATAATATATTAAGGTAGCATAATTATTACTGCAGTGATTTTATATCAAATCATGTAGAGTTGCAGATGATATAGATAGGTAGGCACACATGTTTTTCTTCAATTATATAATTTGTAAAATTTAGCTCTTGCAACAATTTCATCTTTGTCCTAAATATTGTATGAAAAAAACGAAAGTACACACAAAATGCAACATGCAGTAAGTGTACAACACTTTCGCATCTACTTTGTATTAAAATTTCTAATGGTTCATGTGTACCTATTCCGTGCAGGTACAATGATTGCTGTTCAAATATTAAACCGGTGAGTTTTAGTACAAAAATATTTCTCACAGAAAAACTTACGCCTTGTAGAGTAATCGGATTATCTTAATTTTTTTTTTTTATTGTAAAAAATATTTTGGAGGTTGGATCAAAGCCTGATTTTCAAAATTATAGTTATAGAAACTAAAATATGCATTTAAATAATGCAAAATATTAGTTATTTTTCGAACTTTTTTTTTTATCACTATTTAAAGAAAAATGAAAATTCTGTGCTTTGATCCGGCTTGAAACGAATTCTCAAAAAAAATCTCAAATCTGACATATTATCAATGAGGAGTGGGAGTTTTTTCTGTGAAGTCATTTTTTTTGATATAATATTATACACCTTATTAACCCCCTCTCGTAATAGGTATTGGGCAGTAGACACAAGAGTATTATAATTTAGGTAAAAACTAAAATATAATTTTCAAATTTTATTGAATCATAGGAAGTTGGGAAAATCGGCTCTAATACACATTGAATATTATGATATAATAATAATAGTACCCATAGGTGTGATTTTTTTGATTTTTTTTGATTTATTTTGTACCACTTTCCTATCATATATTTTGTGGTATCTATACCTATATAATATAGTAATTTGGAAAGACTGCGATAACCATACATACCATCTGACCGAATAATAACGTTTAATGTTCAAACCACAGTTATAGATAATCTATACAACTTTAAAACTGCAGAATACCGAATGAAATAACAATACAATATTGCTTGATTTTTTTTTTATAGACTTTCTAATTTTATTTTTGTGTGTATTTTTTTTAACTCCTGATCTATATTACTTATTTTTATGTGATTAATTCAAGGGCCTTCAAAGCCTCAAAATGTCCTAATTTTCGTACAAATTTTAATTTTTCTCCAATTTCTTTTTCTAATTTATTTGTTATTTTGCTTTCCAAACATGCACAGTGTACATATGTTAGAAAAAATTTCTGTGCGTTCGAAAATGTAATATCTGCAGGTGCATGATTTCATTCAGTGAGTTATTTTAAATTAAAATTGCTAGTAAAAATTGGAATGTTATCAGTTTTGCTACTCATGTCTTGTGCTCCAACGTATTTTCATAAATGCACCCAACTTGCTAATTTTCAGGTGAATTTTTCATACTTCCTCCAAACCTGTTAAGCCATCGTACTCATTAACAACTTAGTGTCACAGTTGTTGAAATTGATTGGAAATAAATAACATTTTTAAAAAAATGGGTGGGGGCTGGCAAAATAAAATGAATTTAAGAGGTATTTTATGTAAATATTTAAATTATTATCAAACTACTTATATAGTTGCATCCATTATTTATTCAGGAAGTTATATTATGTACCTAAATTTTATGTAAATGTAACTATATGTTTAGAAACAAAAGGAAATAGATCTAGAGATCCTAGAGTTCAGAAAAAAATATCAAGCTCCTGAAACACGGAGGGAGTACGACATATACGACCCACTACAATGCAGAAAAGGTCAACCAAGTCGCATCGGTGACGATGACCCGAGAATCACATTATCGTCGGTTCAACGGTACTTAAAATAATATATACATAATGACACAAACAAATATCATATTTTAATGCTTATGATAACAATATTTATTATTAAGATTTGAAGGTGAAGAGGGCACAACGAAAGAACAAAAAGCGGAACAAATAAAACAACAGCGTGTATGGTTAGAAATGCAAATACGTGAAAAAAATATGACTCGAGAAGAGAATAAAAACGTAGAACGTACTTGGCAAGAAACCGAACACACGACAGTTCAACGAGCAATGGCACTTGCATCGCTGGAAAATGAGTGTAAAAGAAAATTGATAGAAGCAAATAACCGATACAACCAAGCCTTAGTGAGTATTCCTCAAATTCAATAACAACAACGCGTCTCTAGAACAATACTGCCACAATTCAAAATTAGTCAATTTTGAGTTACTACTGCTTTTCGAATAGTAAAAAAAATAGCTCTATGCAATGTGAGACTGCCACATTCAATATATTTTTCATTTAATCACTAAAAATATGTGTCATTTTTGAATGAAATAATTTTTAACTAATTTTCAATGCAAGTGGTCCATATTTATTTTATGACAGTACCACCTTATACCTCTACGTATTTTAATTCATCCAGTTAATCACTAAAGTCAAAATTCAAGACTGCCATTTTTCGATTTGTAGTTTTTTTCCTCTAAATAAAAACTAATTAACGTGTGATAATGTTGATTAGTGCGTAACAGTAATATTTTGAGTTGTGGCGGCGGTATTGCTTTTTATATTAATTGTGAAATTGCAACCATAAATATAAATGTTTTACTGCCACATTTCAAAATATGGTGAACTCGAAAAATTGTAGAAGGCCATAATAAGTCTAACTTTATGGAATTTAATTAATTAAATTATTATAATATTTGTATGTGCTTATTCTCTTTGTTTTCATTTTTTTCTGTATTTTTTTCTTTAGATATGTCAGCTTGTTGTCTCATATCTCATATGTTTCGTATCGTCACCGATGTTTGTTTTTATACTCTTTCGTATTTTTGTTCGGCCAACGTCATTTTGCTTTTTCTTACCTTTTTTACGGTCAAAATTATATTTTCGGTATTACAGCGGCGAAGAACTCTTTTGTGTGCTACCGCAGCCGTGATACCCATGTACCAATACGTGTTTCTCAATAAATCGATATGCTGCCATTAAGTGAGTTGTTTTCCTTTATATAATATATGCGAGGTATTGTATCCACATCTTCAGCGTACGTCTCAACGTTGAGTTTCCGCGATCGGCATTGAGTCGAATGCTGGGTCTCCTTGCGACCATCCGGTGTCAACCTCCACTTCGAAGTGTTTGCCCGGTCCGCGTAAGTCCGTAGTGGGTTGGGTGAGCGGCCACCACGGTCGTCCAACTGCATCTTTCACCAGCAAGCCACTGCCTTAAACTTAAGCTAGTTTTTAAGAATTATCAACCCTGCTTGTGTACTCTCTACGAACATTGCACCAGACCGATCGGATCGTAAAGAAAATCCCCCCCTTCTACTTAAGCTGCATCACCCTGCTCCTATATTCATTCCAAACAGCCAACAGTCGTCGTTGTGACAGTTTGCAAACAATCCGTTGGTCAGGCGCGTTTGTGAAGTTGCCTACTCGAAAACTAGTAGGCGTTAAATAGCACTCAGTGCATATAAATTAGCCTTGGTTCCACCGAGTGTTTTTTTTCGATCAGCCCTCTGTGTCGGGCACATACATCTGGAAAAGAATTTTGCAAGTATTCAAGTTTTTAAACGCATGAGTAACGAACTCTTTAAAATATCTTAGATGTAAACTTCAAATCGGGAAATCTCGAAAACCATACATTTTGAGTTGTGGTAGTCTTCTTCTAGAGGTGTGACAAGCTCAACCGATGAAATGAACACTAAATGATTATAATATTTTGTTCAAATTTAGGCGTCCGAGCAAAAAATGAACAAAAGTATTATAGAAGCCGAGAGCAACGAAGACAAAATGGCAGAAGTGTACAACGCGATCACTGGAGACTTTTTGACGGAAAATCCTGAACTCGCATTCAGCAGTGCTTTAGGGCCAGGAAAAATATCAACATCGCTCTACAAAGGATTAACGCCGGCTATGAAACAAGCGATATACGACGAACAAGCAAATCAAAGAGCAGAGCTTAAGGTATACAATTATTTCGTACAATATTAAAAATAGATTAAAATTACTTATGATCAGGGTTATGATGTTTATAACTTTTTCATTTTTTTTTTGTTTGCACATTGTAGACTAAGTTATAAATTTGTTTTGTATCTCATAGAATTATTTACATTAAATTGTATTTTACATATTTAGGGATTTTTAAGAATAAATGCATATTTTGATAAAAAAAAAATACATAAATGTACCTATTTTAAATCAGAGAAACTAAAACTAAAAATTAACTAATATGATATTATATTTACTTAAAGGTAGCTAGGTGGAAATTGTTGGCTTCACAGCTAACGTATAAAAAAAAGAAAAAAAAATTATAAACGAGAAAATATGAAATGTTTAGTTTTTAAAACCCTTATTATTACCAGCTACTACCTAGGTATACGCTTATTAATGATTTTTTTACGACAGATAATCGCGATTGAGTGGTTAGGTTAGTATGTCTATAGTGATTTAACGCTATAATATTTTTAATTGTGTACCTATAGTGTATGGCGGTGAAACAGTTTGACTGCAGTGTTACCGAATTATTTTAGTTTTATATTACTTTTTATTCTCACTAAATAAATGTACGAAATTAAAAGTTCCAATGCTGTTTGACTACACAAAGTTGTTGTAAAGTTTGGGGAGAATGTATTCAATAGATTTTTTAGTGCTAAAGTACATATGTGGAGTACAAATTATATCTGAAAACATTTATACTATACGATATATTGTTTGTGCAAAGTTCATATATTTTTGAATTTTAGTGTTTCTATACTAATTAAGTCTATTTATATTTTTATTTAATAACAACATTTTAAAATGTCATTTTTTAATTTCTTTTAGGGCATAATTTTATGTTGATTAAAAATAGTTGCTTGCATTGTTTAGTGTTGACAAGGTCATAATACACTTCTTAACCTTACTAATGATCAACATAATATTATTATTCATTTCAAAACAATAATAACTGAATAAAACCCGCCTTTGCTCGTGTTAAATCAATCTCTAAAATGTTCGTCAAAAAATCAATCGAGTAGTTTTTGAGTGCATAAATTACAAACATATGTATGTTAACACACCAATTAACATGAGTTTTATACAATAATCAACAAATAAACACATAATACTTAATAAAATTGATTTCATATAATTTCAGAAACGAAAAGAGGCATACGATAAACAAGAAAAAGATTGGGCTGAACTTTTAAATATACTGGCCAGATGCGGCACACTCAGTGATCAAGAAATGCAACAGAAAAAAAGGTGAATAATGCATTATAAGTACCTACACTTCTAAAAGTATTTAGTTTTCATAGTAAAACGAAAATGTGTGGTTACAATCCAAACCTGATAATGCCATCATAAAATTAAGTTAAAACTTGTTATTGCCCATGTTTTAAGTATGGAATGGAATAAAAATTAGCTCAAAAATACGTTACTGATATCGGGATATCATACAATCAATTTTTACGTATTTGAACGAACACTGAATTTGACACTATATTTAATTCTTAAAATTAAAAAATATTTAATTCATTGTTTTTGGCATTTTTTTGTAACACACTAAAAACATATCACTGTAGTATCATTCTTGCTACGAATTGTTCATGTCAAAATGTGCTATATTGACATTTTGGCACAAGAGATTTTGTTCAATTGCTCAAATATAGTTTTAAATTAAGCTGACACTGAGTAAAAAAATTATGATTTTCAATCTGAAAGAAACAAAAAATGGCAATGGCACATTTTGGATTGTAGGTAACCACACAAATGTGTCACTATTTGAAAACAAATTTATGGAAATTAATATTTTTAAATAAAATAGAATAGTTGAAGTATGATTGGTGACTCGTAAGATATTCATAATAATATTTCAAGTATGATTATAAATTATAATTAACATAACCTATTATTAATTACAATATTATAAATCGATTTTTTTCATACGCGTGATAAACATTGCATTATGATTTTATAATAAATAATATAAATTCAACTGTATGAATGTATTTATAAATGTATACAAATTTAATTCAACAGCAAGACACGTGTACTTAACTATTAATTATTCTAAACACAAATGTATAAGTACCTATTTTTGCATATTTCAGATATAAATTAACAGGTTTTTTTATGTTTAATACCTTATTTGGGAGAACAATTTTTGATTTTGGCAAATTTGATACTTAATATATAAATGCTATAATTAATTTTACAAACATTTTCTCAAAAAATATTAGAATATAGTAATAAATCTGAATATTCTATTTGTATTCCTCACACCTAGGTACCTATACCTACATTTTCCATGCATAATTTTTATAATATATTTAACATAATATTTATTTTATTACCTTTCAAGCCATATATTTGTTAAACTGTGAATTTATATTTGGTTAACTTACTTCATACATTTTTTTTACGCATATTTCATGTTTTTTTTATAAGAAAATTAATTTTATAGTCCTAAGGACTTTAGAAATAATTCCACACCTTCTTTATATTTGTTTTTATTTATTTATTGATTATTTTTTTTATATATTTAAAAAAAAATACCTACCATATAACTGACAAATTAAACGGTTTTTCAAATTTATTTCATTACGTACAATTAATGGTTTATATGTGTTTTGATGATTTATTGATTAAATTATCTAAACATCAATATACAACATTTGACTGAACGCTTTAAATTACAAATAATATTTTTTATGTATATACTTTTAGAAACGTGGAAGATGAAATAAAGGATTTCAACTTAGTTCTAGCTAATGAACAGACAAATAAACAAGAGTTTTTGAATAACGTTTTGTACAGAACTAAAGCTTCAAATGAATTTTTTGATCAGTTTAATAAAACCACTCGCTAATATTATATACTCGTCAGGTGGAAAATTATTCTTTGGGTATCTCGCAATGTATCTGTAAAAAAATTTGTAGTTATGTTTATAATTAAATTCAACATGTTTACAAAAAATATCAGAATATTATAACTTGTGAAATATGAATAGATTGTAAAATATTATGAAACATTGAATGCTGGTAAATATTAATAAATATAATAAATAAATAATATATATAATTATAAAATATTAACAATTTGGCACTCAAGTAAAATATGAACACAATTTTGAAACAGTCTACAATTGCTTTCTCCGTTTTCTATCTTTTAAATTCAAAGTTGAATGCCAACGATATACCTTCTCATACGTAATTAGAATGGTATATTATTATTAGGGCTCGGATTTATATGTAAATACATATTTTTACTGTGATTTGATAAATTAATTTAGGTAATTGATAAATTCGTTTCAAGGGATTTCCAATAAAATGAACTATATTTTATTTTACATATTTTTACATATTTTGCCATAAGTACATGTTTTTACATATTTCTCAATAATTCCATTTTTCCTACATATTTCGATAATTTGTTCATTTACGATTTATTATTTATTAATACAGACTTGCCCATGTTTAAAAAAGTACAAAATAATACTGTAGAACTTTCTCCTTCAGACATAGTCAACATGCAATATTGTCCTATAACATCAGTCGAAGTTGAGAGATATTTCAGTCGATATAAATCAATTTTACGACATAATCGGCGATCTTTCGAATTCGAAAATTTAAAAATGCATGTCATTATTAATTGTAACCATAATAATTAGATAGTTAGATAAATATTTTTTTTTATTACATTTCATTTTAATTAATAATAATATTTTTTTTTTTTGATAATACATATTATAAATTTTTTAGCACATATTTATGTACATAATTTTGTTTTTTGATAATACATATTATACATTTTTTAGCACATATTTATGTACATATTTTTGTTGCATAAATTCATACTTTGGTTAAATAAATACATATAAATCCGAGCCCTAATTATTATCTTATTTTAATTTAGAACCATCAAGGAATAGAAAAGAATACCTCCACTATACATTTTACTAAAATAATTAGTACACAATTATGATATATATTGTCCTTATTTGTTTTAACAATTAAATTTTCTAATAAATAATAAATCTATACAAGGGATCAAAACCGTTTTTTAATTAATAATATTCCTAAGAATTATTTACGAGCATCGTCAGCAAATATACTTATATGTGACCTTAAGAAATACTACGGAAGTAAATTTTAGTTGATTATAAATTACGGTTATAAATGTATGTTGCAATTTTTTTATATTTTTATATGTTTATGATTTATGAATAATTTAATTTTGATGTAATTGGTACTAGCTATAGTTTTGTTTTGTTTTTTTTTTTTATTAAATGTACATTTTTAAACTATACAATTTATTTACTGTTTATATAAAGAGTAATTTGTATTCCCATACCTCGGTGTAATTTTGAACAGAAAACTTACATGCAATCCACAAATCACCTCCAAACTACAACAAGGCCATCAGAACCTAAAAGTATTATCTAAAATAAGTCAAAACTCTCAAATATTTATGAATATCTCAATAGTTATGTTGAAGATTTTATTTCGTCTTGAAAAAACTAATATAAAATGTTGATGAATATTCGTTCCTCATACTGCTGTTTCTCGTATAGGTATACTAGTTATTTCCAAACTACAACAAATGCAAACTGTTTTCTAAAAAAAAAACTACCCAAATTATTAAACTATTATTATTTATTATTGTTATAAAGTAGCACAAAAATTTTAAATGAATAAAAAAAATGAATACAATTTTATACAAAAATTATAGGTAAGAAATTAAAACTAAACTGATGACAAAAATTTGAAATCGGGAGAACATATAATATACATTTTACAGAAAGTATATTTCTTACACAAAGAAAAAAACGCTTATTAGTTTGTAGCAGGTCCGATTTATTTACAAATGTACATAATAATAATATAATATACTGCATATTATTAAATCTGTTCAATTTCTACATTTTTCACACTTTTCAATTTGAATAATTCGACTAACGAGTAATATTAATTTTAACTATTTAGTGGTACTCTGTAAACTCTCTTACTCTCTATACATACGTACAGTGGTTAGATGAAATTACATTTTAAATCCACCTCATTGGTACTTATTACTACATATGATTGGGATCTTTACTAAGTATAAAACAACATAACTTTAACAGCAAAATAATTTTATTTAAATAATTTTTAGTTCTTAAGAAAACCAAAAAACTTAATTTAGATAAAATGTTTTATAGTTCATATTATTTCAATATGTATTAAAATATTTCAAAGTAGATTTTAAAATATACACAGTACGCGCCACACTGAGAGCTTATACGATATAATAATTAATATAATTAATAATTACCTATCTCCAAGTAAATAAATAAATACGCATTATACAAATATTCTAAGTTTATTATTTTGTGGGTATACGGCCAATAAATATTAACGCCGAAGTTAATTATTTTAACAGTTCTTGTATATTATTATAATATTGTGTTAATAGTTAATACCTAGGTACCACGGAAAATGTGCTATTTTAAAAATACCTATAATATGTATTCAAAAATATTATTAAAACTTTTATATTTTATAATAAATTATTAATTTTATCAAATACCTACATGTTTTTTATTTATTTTAAATTTCGTTACCATTCATATTTTTTAAATTTGAAAATATATTTATTTTCATATATGTCTCTTTAATTTATACCTAAAATTCTCATAAAACTACCGACTTACCAAAATTTTGGATTTTAAACGGAGCGATGAATGTATGATTTTACAATGACTTTTGTTTTTGTTTGTATCTGTCATCGCCTTTTGATACAGTAAATAAGTGCTTCAATTTTTTTCTGCAACTTCTTTTCTGGTGAGAAAATTAATCTAGTTGGTACTTTAGGGGAGTCAGAATACTTAAAAAATGCCCATTAACTCTAAAGCGGTAGGAAAAACAAACAAAAAATTAAGGAAAAACCGGAATTTTTACGGAAATTTTGATTTTTGATGCAACTCTTAAAAAAATACAGAAGATACATGAAATTTTCTCTAAATATTTAAATCAATACATTTTCTTTATAGCATTTATACATTTTCAAAATATTTTGACTTGTGTTGAATTATTTATAGTCTATATGAAATTTCCGATTATTATTTGTTTTTTTCAAATTAATATCGATAAAAAATTTTTGGTTTGTCAAAAAACTTGTTAATGTAATACAAGGTTCCTTATAGATTGATGTTAGTGAAAATTAAAAAAAAAGTTGAGCGCAAATCCACAATAATTTTTTATGAGCGTTTAAACTTAGAATTGCATATATATACTAACATAAAACACAGTTTTTTTTATAGTAATTTAATGTTCAAATTTGAACGAAATTACATATTATTTAAAAATATTATTCATAGGTACACTGTACACACTTAAAATTTTTTGAGTATATTATTATATTTTATAACAATGAATTTTCGATTTTTAAATGAGTTTGAATCGTTTTGAGCTGTTTGCGTGAATTTTTAGTTTTTAATTTTATTAGTTTTTTTTATAAATGTCAAAAAAATGTTATTCAATAGTTCAAGAAACTTTTTTTTAAGCTTTTGGATGTCGAATACAAACATCTCAAAACGAGTCGAAATATTATGAAATGTAATCAAATAAATGCATTTATAAAATAAACATAGTTATGCCGTACATTTCAAATATTCACAATTATTCGCTTTTGAATTACAACAAAATGAGAAATTGAGTGGATGTCCAATGTTGAAAAAAATTTAAACTTCAACCACTCATAAAAATTTAGTTTGAGTTTCTGGTAGAAATTTATTTTTTTTGATAAAGGTAGACAAACTTTTAAGTTCTAATTAATCTTGCACTAAATTTTAAAACCTTTGATATAAAAAGATAATTTTGTATGGATTTCGAACTGAATATAATACACAGATTCTTGTTTTTCCTTAATTTTTTGTTTGTTTTTCCAGCTGTTTTTGTAAACTTTTGAGAATTTTTTACTTTTGACCCCAACTGCATTAACTTTTCTACTAGAAAAGATGCTGTTGAAGAAAATCGAAGCACTTTTACTGTTCCAAAAGACAATGTCAAAAAAAAACACAAACCATTGTAAAATCAATAAATTCTGTTCAGAACCTAAAACAAAAAATGTTAGTGAATAATATCTGTAGGAAATCGGTTCTAAAGCCAGAAACTAAGAGACTGAGCATGCTTAATGCCTTAATACTTTATTGAAAACGATGCGCGATGGCTGCAAACTTTGTAATAGTATTTTAATTTAAAATGAATGTATTCCTTTTAATTTATTTACTAACTAAAATTTTCATAGGGCAAGCCCTTTAATAAAGAAAGATATAATAATAATCTAAACAGCCAAAATAGGGAGAAAAAAATAATAATAAATAATAATATGTAGATTGTAGGTACAATATAAGTTTTGGTTTAAATTAAGTAGGTACAGAACAACACATATTTTGAAACATATAATAATGGTTTTAACTTAAAAATAAAGACAAAACTTTCATTCTAATACATTTAAGAGACATAAAAAAAATCAACATCATTAAAAATTAGGTTACATAGCGTAATGAAACAGTCCATAACGAAAACCAGCCAAACTCGTAGACTATCGTCGCACCATTGTCAAGTATGTACTTAACTATAAGAAGTTTATTCAATATTTATCATACTATCATATATTTCGATTTTATTGATTTTAGGCCTGGAATGGTCGTGGGTTTCTGCCAGCCACTATAATGGACATGACTGTGGTAGGCAACGAAAATCTATTGAAGAGGCATGATCTGAAGAGTATAACGACACAGTTTTGGCAGTCGAACAATATACGGGCATATATGAAAAACTAGAAAATGGTTCAGTTTATAACTCATTGAGATTCGTCCAGGTAATTCCAATAAACAACTAAAACAAATTAAAAATATAATCTTACTATAAAAAATAAAAACAAAAAAGTATTATATAGGTACCTAGTCGATATTATAGACATTATGAGAACAGTGTCATTGTGATAATA